TTTCCGGCGGCAGCCGGCCCGGCAACCTTGCCTTAGCTGCCCGCTGGAGTTTTTTTTTTAACACATACCACAAACACATACAAGAAGCTCTCCACGCCGCCGCTGAAGACAGTGTCGGAAACCGACGACTCGTGAAGCCGAGGGAGATCACTCCCCTCTTCCACAGAAACCCTCATCGCCACCTACACCACTACCACCAACTTTCTTTTTTTATTTTATCACACATATTTCCAAAGGAGACAGCCCATGTGAAGAGAGAGATACCCATTACACAACAACAACACTTTACACAACACCCATATTTTATTCATCTTCGGGATCAACCCCGATCACATTTTTACACCAAAAAAAAAAAAAAAAAAAAAAATACAACAACACACCCCCGGTGGGATTTTTCTTCTCTACTCTGCTGCAGGCCTCTTCTTTTGCCTCCGTCCTGGACGGCCCTTGCCGGTGTTGCCTCCGTGTTTCCTTGTCCACCGAGCACGTTCACTCCCCCATACTCCTCCACTGTCGCATATGGCGGCCCTCCAAATCGGAACATCACGGTGGCCTTCCGCTTCAGCTCCTTGTTTTCTGCCCTTAGCACGCTTATCTCTGCTCGCGCATCCTTATACATGCGTTGGAGCAGAGCCAGCTGGGAGTTTAAATGCTGCACCTCATTTGTCCTACTCTGCAGCCGGTTCGACAAGTTTGTGACCGCCGTCATGCTTTCCACACATGCCTTCAGAGTATACTGATTGGCCTCCACATCCGACTGCACTGCCATTCTTTGCTCCACCGACCGCATCGGAAAGTTCAACGGAGCAAACTCCGGGGCGCTTGGTTGAGTTTCCAGTGCCACCGCACCAGTTCTCTCTCTTGTTGACTCGTTGAGGTCGGGAAAGAGGGTGAGCAGCCCGCGGGGAAGACGAAGCCATTTTTCTGGGCTACAAAATGTTCCACAGTTTCTCTCTCCGAAGAGACAGAGTTTTTCAGAGAAGGGTTGGTTTCAGAGGTTTCAGAATGGTATGCCTCAGCCTCAGCCTTCGTCTTGGTTAAATAGCCAAGGCAGCCACGCGCATCGCGCGCCTCTTGCCACCAGCGACAAACGGGCCACGCAAGCCAAGGCACCCACAGAAAGGAGTATAGGCTAAATCTTATAGCTCTGATACCATGTAAAAAAATAGATGTATTATTGATTGTTGAATTGATTGATTTTTTAATAGATGTGTTGTGTTTATTACAATTACAAGGATTCCTATTATATAGGAGTGTGTTTGGGAGTAGGTGGAGAGTAGGTGAAGTTGAGGTGGTAGTGGTGTAGGTGAAGTGGAGGTGGTAGTGGTGTAGTGGGTTAGGTTTAGTGGAGTAGGTGAGGTGGTAGTAGTGTAGGTGAAGGTAAATTCTAACACATATCAAGTCTAAACTAGAAATAAGCATCATCAGCCTTTGATGACTCAAAGTTTAGTAGCATTAAAAGAAATGATATAGAACTGTCAAAGAAAATCGACTCATTCTCCATCCAATACGCTACGATCTTCTGATGACCCAAAGTTTAGTAGCATTAAAAGGAATGATATAGAACTGTCAAAGAAAATCGATTCATTCTCCATCCAATACACTACAATCTTCAAATCATACATTATGAAAAACATTGAGAGGTTTGCTACTACAAATGTTACACTTTAACCCATGTCATGATTTTTATATGTACTTATTTATCAAAACTTTTCAATCTGAAAGTCCTTTCTTTTTTTACTAGGAAGACTATAAATGATCAACCGTCGATGGAGATCAAATCTCCATGGTAACACTTAGTGCCTTAACTCTGTGTTCCTCGCCTACCTTCGTGTGCGCCACACCCACCTGGGTGCCCACTCACCTGCCTCCACATTTGCCTCACCTAGCAATTGCAAGCCTTGATTGGATGGATACCCTGACGCCATCATGTCTGCCTAGGTCGGGAGAAGGCTGTAGGGACCCATTTGTGGTTCATGGCAAGGGATGGGGGGTTCAAGTGTTCCCATTATCCACCAGGGACTTGTGGCTCGGCAGCTAAAACTATACCATATAAGGAGGTCATTCCCTCCACTGAGATATACCACATACCAGTTTGGTGTATCTCCTTTAAGAGGTCATTCTCCCTATGCGAGGCTTTACCCTCACTGCTACTCTCTCTCTCTCTCTCCAGTTTGGTTGCCTCAAGTCTCTTACTCTCCAACCTTGGTGATCCTATGCCATCTTTGTGCCCAGCATAATTCCCAGTAGGCCTATGGTATGCTCACACCATCAACAACAGCACACAATCTCAATTGGAACAACAATTTTTTTACACTGCATTCCCTTTCCATTCAACAACTAGTCTAGTTACAAATTTCAGAAACCCATTTAACGTTTGAGAATTCCAACTAAAGAAAAGGTTGAAAATGTCAAGTTTAAATCCTGCCATGTTATTCCAACACTGGAAAGGTCCGCTGTAGATTGAAACAGATCTAGTGTAAATCAAGCAAGAGGAAAAGTAAGATGTAAAGTTGGATTTGTGAAACATGGACCTCAATAGATAATGCATCAGGTTAGCAACTTAGTAGTTGGGAACTTTGGTCGGTTGAGACTCAGTTCAGCTCTGCACAGGAAGTCAAGTTGTATATTTGGACCTATGCTCAAAGTATGCACTTTTTTTTTTTTGAGTTTATAGAGCCTTGAAGTTTAATGAGTGAAGCTAGTTTGGTTTGTTGTACAACATAAGTAAATTTGAGAATGACAAGAGAGGTGTATAATAACCAAAGGATTATTTCATTACCTCGAAGAGGCTACATATGAATATTGAACAGAAGTCTGAATACCTTGGGGATCATATCGACGTTGTAATCTCTGCTTGAGCCCAAATGTTCTGGAGGTGTGTCACTGCCCCTGAATCGCTTCCAGAGCTAGAAGCCACAAGTAGAAATGAAACAAACCAATAAATAAATAAATAAAGCCATAAGCAGAAATGAGTTAATGATGTATGAACATAGAAGAGTTTTAGATAGATGATCAACAGAGCAATTTAAGCATGTAATGATAATTGTACCTGGTTGAGATTTAGTGAGGTGGACTCTCCTCCATAGTAATCATTTCTATCCATGTGCAGAACCTGTTCCAAATAGGCACCAAAAAATGCTAATAATTCAGCATTCTAACAAGATTATAAAATCCCCAAAGAGTTATCCAAAAGATATATGAATCTGGGAAAAAGAGTGAAAATAAAAAGATAATGATAAAGCACAAAGCATCTCCTGCAAGAAAGCTGATGATTACATTATTATTTTGCTGAAATTTGTATAGAGAACAAAGAAAGACTGTTGGAGTGTTTAGAGCTTTACTCTTACTCTTATGCTCTGTTTGGTTCACTGGAATGGAAAGGTCATATTCCTTGGCCTCCTTATGCAATGATTATTCCTTACAATGGGAATGATGATTCCAGTTGTAATACATAACATATTTTCCATCATATTTTTTTAGTAACCCAAACGTGAGAATGGATTTTATGATGGAATGATCATTCCATTCCAGTGAACCAAACACTATATTAGAGAAAAGGCTTAGGAAAAGGACTATATGTCTACATTCACCAGTAATGGAACACTGGTATAAGATTCAGAAGGCTTAGGAAAAGGCTTTTTGGGTACTATTGCTAGAGACATTGGAATGAATCATGCTTTCATCTGGCTTGGAACTTAAGATGTTCATAGGTAAAGGGAGCCTGCCACCCATTGTGTAACTCAAGTTTCAATTGGACTCAAAAACAAAAAAACAAAAAACAAAGAAACACTACAATTGCATATTGCTCTGGAAGAACATACTCAAACAACATGTTTTAATTGGCAATAATTAAGTAATAGAGCACAAAGTATGAGCATGTGACAAGTGGAAAAAAAAAATTTCCTTTTATTTAAGAAATATCTTTATTTGAAATTAAACTGAAGTCCAAAGCTTATCTCCAAGATGTAACATTCCAGTCCCACCACATCTCCACACTTGATAGGTTGTTTTATGACTTAAACTTGCTCTAATTAAAGTCAGTCAATATCTCTATATATCTAAGAAATAATAAACACTGATGTCTGCCCATATTATCACAAAGAAAATATATGAAAATGTCACCGTTTCATACAAGAAAGAGGTATTACATGCATGACGAAGAAAGGAAATGATTTTGATGTCTCAATTTGGTGAGAAAATAAAAGAATGATTTTGCTTTCTTACTGTCATGTTCAAATGGGAAAAAAAGCAAAGCATGTGAAATAGGAATATGGATAAGATTTCATTTTCATCCTATGTATTATAATCTGGTATTTTAAAAAATATACAGCCAATTAATTCGGTTTCTGACCAAATCTCAGCATTTTTATTTTTATTTTTATTTTTTGGTATGAAAAATGAAAGGGGCATAAAAAAAATTCCCTTTTCTCCATTTCTCAGCCTGTCTTATCTAATTTGTAAAGGGTGATTCTATTTGGCCGTTCAGATATCACCGTCCGAACAAAATACAAATATTCAGATATCAACTATTGAACGAGATTTTTGTTCGAACAATTCATTTTTTTTTTGTTCAGGACTTGACATTCGAACATTTTATTTTTGTTCGGAAGTTGATATTCAAATGACACAAATGTTGTGTACTGAGATAAAATATGATGTGCGAATAGAAGTACCCAATTTGTAATCCAAAACATGAGAAAGAGTTATTTTTCTCATAATTTTTTTTTATATCATTTCTCATAAAATAACTCAATCCAATCCAAAGGGCCTATAAGATCAAGAAACACATGAGAAAGCAGTGTTGTTGTGTATAGACGCGTGAATAGAGAAGAGACAATGAAGAAAGGGCTTACTTTGTGTCCATCAACAGAGAGTAGACCACTGAGAATGCATTCCTTGAGACCTGTCCCAAGCACTACAACATCGTATTCTTCATCCATGGCTGTGATAGCAGAGAGCTATCGTTGTCCCAAAATAGAGTGAGACTCACTGATCACTCAATATTGGTAATTATGTGCGAGAGAGAGAGAGAGAGAGAGAGTGTTTGTGTGTTTGCCAGTGAGAGAGAGAGAGAGAGAGAGAGATCGTATACAGAGGCGGGAAGTCGGGACAAACAAACAACCAACCAACGAACAGGTCTCAACCGGATATTGACGTCCCGGATTTACCGGAAAACCCCTCTACGACCGCGCCAAATTTGAGTTTTTTTTTTTAAATTTTTTTTTAAAGAAAATTTAATGGGAGATTTATTAGAAAATTATTTTTCAATTGTTTGTGCCTCATTTAATCCATAAAATGATTTTAATATGTCATATTATTTAAATATTTGATCTACCAAATCATAATTCTCATATTTAAGATATTTTATGAACATTTTTACCTTTATAAATATTTTCTGAACTGTTGGCAATTTAGTGATGTAGACATTCAATTTTATAATATGAATATTCACATTGACGTGCAAATATTCACATTGATATTATAAATATTCGCATTGATATGTTACCATTTACATTGATGGTATGAATATTCACATCACGGAACATTCACACTGTAAATGTAAATATTATTAGGGGTATTTTAATAACTATATCACCTATAAAACTTATTGGAATATAAAAAAATAATGTGAACTAAATGTAACTGTGGGGATATATTTTCTGAGTACCAACACGTGGCAAGGTGACGCCGACGTGTCAGCCGAGGTGCCACGTGTCCTGGTCGTGATGCCGAGGTGATCTCGACAAGGCCGAGATTATCTCCGAAGATATCGGAATCCGAGATAAGTGGATAAGGGACAAGAGTCCTAGCTAGAATGAAAAGGAAACTCAACCTGGATAAGGGACAAGAGTCCTAGATTGGGAGAAGACTTCAGTTTGGGTAAAGATAAGACTCTTAGAGAGTTTATCCTAATCCCATTGAGAGTCCCAAATTAGCAGTAATCCTAAGTCCATTAGGGCCAGGCTCCTTTTGGGACTAGGATTGTATTGGCTATAAAAGAGAGGCACCCCCATGGGTCTAAGGTATGCTTTTGATACTCAAGCTTGTGAGCTTAGTACTTGATTTATCTTTGAGAGATATACTGACTTGATCGTCAGAGTGCCCCCGGGTGGTCGAAACCACCGCGGGATTCTTATATTTCTGTTGCAGGTCAGTCAGGTGCCATCTATTCTACCAGTGCTCTCCAGCTGGTTACTAAGCGGGCAGTGTGGTCGAAAAATCACCCACACAATTTGGCGCGGTCTGTGGGAAAGAAAGAAGAATAGATGGCCAATGACGGACAAAATGATCAGATTAGAGACAACGCTCTTACTGGGAGTAGGAGACCTATCGATCTCAACATTGAAGGGGACGATCGCAACACAGAAACTCGTGACCAGAGTCACGGAGTGAAAGACGCCGGCCAAGAAGGTGACTCACTAAAGACAACAGATCGAAGCGGATACTACAACAAAGATGACCTCCAGGTATGGAAGGATAGATACCTGCGGAAGAACGAAGACCCTTCCAGAAGGGATGCAAAGACAGGGGGCATGAGCGCTCCCAAGGAGATAACATTCAAGTATAAAAGAACTCATCCTGAGTGAGCAGATCCCAGATTCCAGATCTTGGATCCCGAATCTGAGAAGACATGATCTCAGCCTAGACAAGTAGGCCCGAGAAGACGAGAGCTCAACCTAAGTGAGCAGATCCCGAATTCCAGATCCCAGATCCTAGAAGACATGATCTCGGCTTAGATGAGTAGGTCTGAGAAGAGAAGAGCTCAACCTGAGTGAGCAGATCCAAGATTCTAGCAGACAAGATCTCGGAACTTAAGTCCGAAAAGAGAAGAGCTCAATGAGCAAATCTCAGATCCCAGAAGATAAAAGGGAAACACATAAGATCAAACTAAAGTTGGCCAGAATTGAGACGTATACTAGGGCCGAGGAGGACATGCCGGGAACAAAGACATTGGAACAAGAAAAGAGAAACGGCTCGCCGATGCGAGGCCAAAAATCAAACTCAGGTTGGAGCCAAGTAAGATCAATAGAGAACCCAAGGCCGACAACCTCGGCTTGAATTAAACCTCGGTGACAAGGTCGAAGCTACATGTATGATGAGAACCCAAGTGGATTTTAAGTTCACACTGGGGGGCAGAGAGAAGAAGAATGCGTTTACCACTTGTTGAAATTTGTAGCAATTTACAAGTTGGTGAAACCAATACGATACTTAACCGAAGTTAAGCCGAGATGATACTTAACCGAAGTTAAGCCGAGATGATGCTTAACCGAAGTTAAGCCCAGATGATGTTTAAACGAAGTTAAACCGAGACGATACTTAACCGAAGTTAAGCCGAGATGATACTTAACCGAAGTTAAGTCGAGATAATACTTAACCGAAGTTAAGCCCAGATGATGTTTAACTGAAGTGAAACCGAGACAATGCATAACCGAAGTTAAGCCGAGATGATGCTTAACCGAAGTTAAGCCCAGATGATGTTTAACCGAAGTTAAACCGAGACGATGCTTAACCAAAGTTAAGCCGAGATGATACTTAACCGAAGTTAAGCCGAGATGATGCTTAACCGAAGTTAAGCCCAGATGATGTTTAACCGAAGTGAAACCAAGACGATGTTTAACCGAATTTAAGCCGAGATGATGCTTAACCGAAGTTAAGCCCAGATGATGTTTAACCGAAGTGAAACTGAGACGATGCTTAACCAAAGTTAAGCCGAGATGATGCTTAGTTGAAGTTAAGCCGAGATGATGCTTAACCGAAGTTAAGCCCAGATGATGCTTAACCGAAGTTAAACCAAGACGA